TGTATGATATGAATGCTCATTATAATGGTGCATAACTACACTCATAAAACTCATAATAATATTTGCTATAATGTTCACTAATTATGGAGAGTAATTGAGGAATATAGAGAATCAAATAGTCATTCACTAAATAATAATTCATAACAAGTCTTTTATAATTTACAAAAAAAAGTTTCGTTGTAATTTTAATTTTTATGCTTCGAGCCGTTTTTGGTTGTTTGTGTGCGATTTTATAGTGAATTAGTTTCATATTTTTTGTAAAACAAAATCTTACCCAAACAAACCAAAGCTTGAAAGGGAATAGGTAGTACTGATAGATACATTGAAAAACTATATATCTCCTGTAAGAAACAAAAAAGCATTAAAGAAACAAAAGTAATAAATAAGCTTTGATTATGACCATTCAAATGGTAAAAGCTGCTAATTTAGTAGTTGAATTAAAAACTTGGATTCAACTTTCCACTAAAATAGAGAAAGTATTTTAAATTTATATTATAGTATTAATCATTTTTATTGGAATTAACATCTACATCTAAATATAAAACATTAGATTTGTGTTTTTAATATATGAGAAATATATTTTGAAATTATCATATAAGTCTTGGGACTTAAAATAATATGTCATGGACAAATAAAAAGTACTATAAATTATATACGAAATCGTATATATGATATATTTGTATATGTATTTTGTTATTGATTTGATAGTCGGCTTTAATAATTTTTTTAGAATTATAAATAAGATTGATTTCACTATATTATATAAAGGACAATACAGAAAAGACTTCCGTATAGTTATCATAACTGTGACTTTCTATAGGATGTAAAATGGTTTTTTATTTAATTTTAGTTTTATTTGAAACTAGAATCTATAGTATGCTCTATTTCAAAATGGTTACTATTTTATTAAATATATTTTAAATTTAAGACTTAAATAATAACTAAAAATAATGGTATATATTAAACACATCTTGTTGTCATCACCGGTTCACAACAACATTTAAAGTTCTATTCATTGTTTTAGTAACTTTCGCTTTAACTTATTTTCTATTTTATCAAATTATCAAAATATAATTTATTGTTCAAATTTTGGTTTCATATGTTTTCTTATATATATTACCTTAATTCATATTCTCAAAATTTTATTATCTTTAATATATTATATTTAATAACAAATCTTTTTAAAATGTTTAAACTATATCGGATGTCACTGCCTGCTTTACCAAATCACCGTTCGAAATGGTTTGAGACGGATGATGTTCTTAAAAATTAAATTGTAATCTTTTTTTATATTTATTCTTTTTGATGTAATTTAAAATTTTAATATATTTAATTTTCAATAATGAAAAAACGAAATTTGATTTTATCTATTATTAGAAAAGTTTTCTTTTAAAAATCAAATTATTAGTATAGTTATAAATATGAATTATTAATAATCTTTTATTGAGTTTAATTGTTTCAGTGCAATATGAATTATTATAAATATATTATTTATACAAACACTTTTATTTAAATATTTATATAAATCATTATAATAATAAGTCTTATTAATGCAAATATAAAAGAAATGAATTTTATAATACAGGAAACAAAACCCAAAAGAATGACAAAAAGAAGAAAAATGATATATAATATAATACTTAACTTTTTACATGTTCATGTATTGTGTAGTTTGCAAAAAAGTTATCATTTTTATTTTAAACTTAGTTCACTATTTTTGTAATTAATATAACAAATTTTTACCTTTTCAATTCAAAATGAAAATTTATCATCATCTAAACAAATGAAACTAATCGTTGTTAGTTGTAAGATAAAGAGTAATAGAGAGAAATTACTATTTGTTGCCCGTCTAGAAACAATTGATCGCCGAAAGGAACAAATCGCCAGAATAAAACAAATCGAAACGAAAGAATTTGGCGACCACCGAAATGACACTAACTTTCATTTGGAAACTAATCTCTCGAATATAAGAAATCGACGTCGCCGCATCGCGCGGGTACGCTACTAGTATATATATATATATATATATATATATATATATATATATATATATATATATATATATATAATGATTAAATCATTTATGTTTTCATCATCTCGATCCAACAACTATTTTATATTTAGTTTTGGCTATCATGGTAGTGGTTTGATGTTTAATTTGATGTTGATATTCTTTTTTTGACCGAACGATTTTGACCCCATTTTGAGTGTTGTTTGTGGTGTAACTTTTATAATAAAGGTATATATTCTTTTACGATTATAACTATAGATGTAGGAAAACAAATGTAACTTGTATTCATTTATGATTATAACTCAAAATGTCTATTCGTTTATGATTAGAGGTATATTATGTTCAAATTAGTGTTATTGAGTTTTTTTTCTTTTTTTTTTTTTTTTTTTTTTAAATTTTTTTACTTACTTAATGTTATCGATATTTATTTTGTATTTGGCAATATACAGATAAAACCAAGATCCTTACGGACGCAATTTCGAGGTGTACAAGTTCATGTCAAAGCTGTAGGAGAAAATAGGATTTATGTTGGAGATCTGGATACCAGTTGAATCATGTGAACACTTTTCGAACTAATGTTTCTAATCTATGCGTGGGTTACAAGAAATTTAGCATAGGATAACCCAAGAGGACACTTATGATTCTAGGCATAGAAATCATAAGCCAAATTACTAGAATGATTCAGTAAGTATTTGAAGAAAAAAAGAGCTAATAATATATGTGTCTCTCTTCTCAAAGAGAAGAGTCGTGTATGTATATAAATGAGATTAGAGTTTCTCTTAGTGTTGACCGTCATGGGTTGCTTTCGAAACAAGTTAGGGTAATCCAAATTTTAATGAGGATTTAGGTTTTCCAAAACTAACGACTTTCAACCCTCAAGAATTTGAATATTCCTATATGTAAAATTCGAAGAGTTTTGGGGCACTACCCCAAACCCTGCGGGGGCTTTACCCCTCGACCCCGCCCGCTGACCTGGCTGCGGGACCCCATCTAGGGGCTCTTCCCCTCTACCATGTAAGGGGTGCTGCCCCTAGACCCCACCAAAGGGGCTCTTCCCCTCGACCCCGCCTGCTGACTTGTTGTCAAACCAGGTTGTAATTTGATCTTATAGATGCATGCACTTCGCACAAACACATACATATAATAGAGTACAAATTATGAAGTCTCTTAGCTCACATGTTAGCTCCAATTACATAAAATGACATAGTGACACTAAAATCATCAACAAAAGCATACAATTTTAAGTTTATGTCAAAGCAACCATTTCAAGTGAATTGATTCAATCTATAAAAAACAAGAAACCTACATTACATTGTGTTTTAATCATTTATGATTAAAGTGCATTATAGTTTTTTGATTGTGTTATATATTCATTTGCGATTACAATTGTAGTTGATTTTAATTATATGTATGTTGTCGTTTATTCATTAAAGATTACACATCTATTTTTATTTATCTCTATATTGTGGTTTATTCAAGGTTGTCAAGATCGGAATCCTACGTAGAACCGTTTTTGGATTTGAAAAATCGGGATCGGGATCATAAGATCCCACAAAATAAAACATAATTTTAATTTATAATTTTTAAACATGAAAAATATTTCAAACATTTAAATTATTCGTTCAAAACTTATAAAAACTTCAAAATATTAGTCATAAGTCACAACACAAAATGATAAACAGTAAATTTGTAAATGGTAAAAGCTATTAGGTGGTAAAAATAATTTTTATTTGCAAAAAAAGGGAATGTATGATCGGATCGGATCTTGATCCTACGATATTACGATCATACCTGCGATCCGACCCCAAATACGATCCGTTTACTATCCGGATTGTTTTTCATACCTATGTAGAATCCTACGATCAGGATCACGATTTTAATAACCATGATTTTATATTCATGAATATAAATGTATTGTATTATTTATTATTAGATTGTGTTATATTCATTTTATGTTCTCAGTAATAAAGTATATTATTCCAGTTGTATTTGTATTTTGGTCTTTAGAAAAATATAGTTAAAAAACTAATTCAATAAAATTATAAAATTGATTACGTTTTATATTCACTTAAGAATGAAATTTTATGAATCAAATGGTATGAAAAATAAATGTTTATTTATTTATTTATTATTTTGACAGTAAAAAATATTATAAAAAGTATTTTTCTGTTTATTAAAAAAATACAAAATAATATTTTTATTGAATTTGTTAATTAAAAATAGATTTGATTTACTCCTAATATACGATGAAAAAATTAATTAATGAGATTACACTACATACTTGTAGGAATTCATTAATTATACATAACTTATCCAAATTTAATTATAATGTTAAATTCTATTTATGATTTTATGGAATTATTGACTCATAATTATTCTTGTGTTTTTAACCTTTTAATTATTCTAAATTGATCATTTTCTCTCTCTCTCTCTCTCTCTCTCTCTCTCTCTATATATATATATATATATATATATATATATATATATATATATATATATATATATATATATAACAGTTTCATTATCAGATCAAATGATTACATATTGATAATAGTTAACATGTTTAGACATGATAATAAACAAGTAGTTCACATTTCTGGTTGACATATAAACAAACTATGGTTCAGTTACAATCCAATTGTTGTCACGAGGTTCTCGTGTCTGTTCTCTACTCACGTTATCCTTAACCTTTTAATTTTTTATTTAATTTTTAATCTCACTTAACATTAGCTAATCCCATTGCTCAATATCAATCCAACAACTCAAATTTATTCGTGCTAATCCATACATTTTTTGTGCGTATACCACTTGTAAACATTCTTTTTGCATTTACCCCTCAAAGTTTAGATAATATGTTCGCATTATGTAAAGTGATAAGATTTGAGGATTAAAACTGCATAACTCAAATCCTACCATTTTATATAATGTGAACATTGCCAGTTTAAATAGAGTTTTCATGTCATTTTACAGAGTTATCATATCATAGAGAATGGTAATATCTAAGTAATGATTTAATGGGTCTAACTAGGGAAATCAATATGTTTTTAAAGCTTCAAATAGAGAATTTAATGAATGAGTTTATAAGAAGATACGACAAATAAGTTAAAGTGCTCAAATTAGCCGTTTTGTCTCGTTATCTCTATTCGTGTAGATACGTATCAACATGCCAAAATATTAGGGGCTGAAGATGTATATTATCAAACTAGAAGGTACGTATTTACATAACCATAGAGAACCAAAATCCTTAACCATAAAGCTTTAACTAAAAACCAATTAAATATTATATACACTAATACGTATATACGATTCTCTGCTGTTAATTTTTTTCTCTCAATCTCTCCCTCAAATTGATATCTGGAGTCTCATCAATTCATTTGTAAGTTTTTCTTCCTATATCCTTACCTTTACTAGTTTAGATGGAATAGATTATAATTTATAACCTAGTTTATCATCTAGTTTACTAAACGTTAATTAGCTTATTAGCTAAGAGCTACTTTTTTTTAACTATTATTTATCTTTTCAGGTTGTTCGCAAAATATAGCCTTCTATATCTCAAATTGTCAAAAGCTTCTGAATACAATCTATTCAATAGTTATTTAAATTATGTATTATAATAAAAGATTTGTCTTATATGAATTTTCTAAGATTTATGTAACGACATACATACAGACGGAGGAAATGATTTTCTACAATCATTTACGATGTTTTTAACAACCAATAGCTCTTATAATATTTAATATTAATGCATCAAATAATAATTATATTAAAATATAGGCTTTAAATTCTAATTTCATGAAACATATACCATAATTTGTGCCATTAAAGTTGAGATACATTAAATTTTGGTTTATTTCCTTCCTATGGATTATATTTGTTTTTATTTATGAATCATATTTTGGATTTTGAAAATGTTGATATTTGGTGTGGCTTGTTTTTTAATCTTATATGCATCATATAAAATGTTTGACGTAATCAATAAAGTATATTTTTATGCATAAAAATGTATTTATTCCTACTAAAAACATTTAGTGTTTAAAAGAATAAATATAATTTAACACATTGCAATGATGAAAAGTAATGTTTTATAAGTTTTTGGTTGAGCATTAATGTACTTCCCTTCCTATGGAGTAAATATGTTTCTATTTATGAAATCATAATATGAATTTTGCAAATGTTGATATTTGTTGTGGCTTATTTTTAAAGCAGCAACTTATAGCATGTAAAATGTTTTGACGTTGTTAAGAAGAGTATATCTTATGGATTTTTTCTTCATATTTTTATTCATAAAAATGCATTTATTCCGATTTCCAACTAAAAGTTGTTATGTATTTTTAATTATCAAAATCTATTTTAACATTTAAAAAAGTTATTTGATGTTTACAAAGATAATTACACATCAAAAGTTACAATTTTCGTATGAATACAAAACACACACACGCAATATCAAACGCATATTATTCTACAATTTATCTTTGTTAGTGAAACCGGTTGGTGGAGAAATAAAATTTGATATTCATTCTTTTATTAATATATATATTTTTTTTTAACAATTGAATTTTATTTTGACAAAGAGCTTAAAAATAAAATCCAACAACAAAGAATTAATAGCTAACATTGGATTATGTAAAACTACATGCACAAGATAAAGAAAAGACGAAGACAAAACTATTATATCAAACAAAATATCATGTTATTAATTAATTAATATACTACCTTTTACTTATACTATGTTGATGTATATACTTGTAGGTCAGCATATATATGGGACACTATCAGAAAGCCTTTGTGATTTTCCTCATTTGTTCATATTTTGTGTATCCTCCTCTCATCCTTTCATCATCGACTGATGGATACACGAGAATTAGATTGAAAAGAATGAAATTAAACAAAGACAATCGTGTTGTTTCACAAACTGAGTTGACTCATTCTTTGAGGGCTCGTTATGGGAATAATCTCATCGGGTCCAATGGATTAGACATCGTGTTGTTAACTAATTACATCAACACTCAATATTACGGTGAGATTGGTATTGGCACTCCTCCTCAAATGTTCAATGTCATCTTTGATACCGGTAGCTCTAATCTATGGGTGCCATCATCAAAGTGTTATCTCTCGGTAAATTCTGGGTGTTGTTTCCTTTAATTTGATATAAAATGTATACATGTTCCATTTTAACTTATATAGAAAGAGAGACTTGAGATAAAAACTTGGAAAAAAAAGTAATACCCCATTAAAATTCCAATTTATAAAAAAACATTCCTCACTTAAGTTGTGTTTGGCACGCCACAGTTAGCTGATAAACTAGTTTATTTTTCGAACTTTTTTATGTTGTCGTGTTTGGTAAGCCAAAAAGTAGCTTATAAGTTACGTTTTTGAAAAGCTACTTAGACTAGTTTTTTAGGAGCTTTTTAAAAAATTTCAAAATACACCCTTTAATTAATTATAGAAACGCATACTCTTACATGTCATTTTATGTAATTTTATATATTTCAACTAGCTTTTCAGCTAGTTTTACCAAATGTTATTTTTTATCAGCTAGTTTTTCAGCTATCAGCTAGTTTTTTATTTGACAACTAGCTTTTTAGCTAGTACGCTAAATATAGCCTTAATATTCTTTTAGTTCCGCTTATTTCTCCAACTGTGCTATAATTAATTTTCTCAAGTATTTTACTCTTACATTCATCTAGATTGTAACGAAATGCTTGTTGCTTGGGATTTTTGTGTAGATGTCATGCTATGTTCATTCAAAATACCGGTCAGGAATGTCAATTACATACAAGAGTAGTGGTTAGTAATTAGTCATGACGGATCTTGGTTCATATGTGTCATAGTGGCATTATATGACTCATGTTTTAACTTCTAATCTATATATAGGGCAATCTGGTGCAATTGAATATGGTAGTGGAACAATATCAGGATTCTTTAGCAAAGACAACGTTAAAATTGGTCATCTCATTATTAAGGATCAGGTGAATATTATATTTTTCTGATTGTTTTTTTGTTCATTTGATTTTTTATATTGGTGTTACATTTTGATATATGACTAGGAGTTTATCGAGGCAACAAAGGAGCCTGATATGACGTTTATGACCGGAAAGTTTGATGGTGTACTTGGGCTTGGATTCAGGGAGATTTCCGTTGGAAATGTTGCCACAATATGGTAATCAAAATATATACTTATATAAATAAAAAATAATTATTAAACCCATATTTATATTATCGTAATCATAATATTTATATTATTTTCACGCGTAATTATATCTAACTAGGAAAAAGATCACCAATCATTAGTTGTGGAAAATGGCTTCTTTTTGCTGTAAAAAAAACAAACCCAATGGAAAAGTTTAAGGAAATAATAAGATAGTTTACTCTAGCTATGTACTTTATTTTTACTCATTTAATCAATATTTTTATATATATTTTTTTATCCATAGTTATAACATAGTTACATTAATTACAATATATAACTTCAAATTTGTAAAATATTTACAAGATGACGTCATGGGATAGCTAGAATCCCATTGGTTATGTTGCATACTTAAATAAAGAATTTTAAACTGGTAGTTTATTTATTATACAGGGAGAATATGTTGAATCAAAATGTAGTTAAGTATCCATTGTTCTCGATTTGGTTGGACCGGAGTGAAAATGAAGAAAATGGGGGTGGGGGCGAGATCATCTTTGGTGGCGTTGATCCCAACCATTACAAGGGTAATCATGCTTTTGTTCCGATCACAAAAAAGGGTTATTGGCAGGTTCGTTATTCATCATCAATCATAATGATGATGCTTAATTATTCTGCAAAACTATACTCATATCATATGATTCATATCTCCAATGTTTTTGATTTTTTTTTTTTTTTACTCCATGTTAGTTCAATTTGGGCGATGTTCTTATCAATGGCGAATCAACCGGTATGTTTATGAAGGGATTTCTCATTTAAAGCTGTTGAATTTGATACGATGATCGTTTCTTCGAACAGGATACTGTCAAAATGGATGTCCCGCCATTGCAGACTCAGGAACTTCTTTGCTAACCGGGCCAACGGTATACATAACTGAACATCCGAACTTCTGGTTTCTTGATATTGTGTTGTACTAATCCCAATGAGTGATCTTAATTATGTGATTGTTGCATTTAGTCTGCGATTAACGAGATAAATGCTGCCATTGGAATAAAGAGCTTTGTGAGTCAAGAATTTAAGTCTGTGGTCAAACAAAACGGGGAAAACATATTGGATCTTCTTCAGAATGAGGTGAAAACCAAGTGTTTAATAAAATGCCAAGCTTCTCATATGGGTTTTTGGGAACTAACGAGTCTATATAATATAACTCACAGCTCTCCGAGCAATTTGACACAATCCGAGACTCGGATATTGATTGTGGAAAGGCTGCATCGATGCCTAATATTTCGTTTACACTTGGTGGTAAAGATTTTGTTCTTACACCACAGGAGGTACTCTTCTTACTAAATTTTGTTACAATGAAAAATAAATACATAAACAAAAACAAATGTAATATCAATATTCTATGTACACTTAACAATTTTTTAATGATTATAATATTTTTTTATCATTAAAAATCATTTTTCCATGTTACCCACTTTTGATACGAGGGCAAAATACAAAAACCTAATTCAACTTACTTTCATCATTTTACATATTTAGCCACTATATATTTAAATATTTTTAATGATTTAACAATGGAACTATTTTTATAATAAGCATAAAAAGTTAATCCTGGGTGCATACATGATATTTTGTACATATTATTAGGGTAATTAATTGTTGCCTTTGTATTCAATTGGTCACTTTTTTTTTGTATCTAATTTATCATTGAACTTGTTGTAGGTGTTTACAAATTGAAACCGGCTATTGAAGGTTTCCAACAATTTCTTATCTCCGGCGACTCTCTGGTTGTCTTCTCCGGCGACTCTCTGGTTGTCTTCTCCGGCGAACCTCCGGTTAAAAGAGATTTTCGACGGATCCTTGGGTCTCGGCTTGATGACTTATAGCAGCAACAAGCAACAAGAGGTGGTAATGGTGGTTTACCGACGGCAAAAGGGAGGTCGCAGGTGGGTTCTGGTGATGGCAGGAGGAGGTGGCAGGTGGCTTGCTGCCTGCGTCCCTTTGACCTTTTTTCTGGCATCAAATCGACAGGAGGGAGAAAGGGGAGGGTGGAGAAAGCTAAGCAGCAATACCAACGGTGGATGCCACTTGGATGGCAGTCGAGAAAAGTCTGCCGGAAAAACTCATTTTTGCCGGTGGCTCGCCGGAGAAGACGACCAGAGAGTCGCCGGAGATAAGAATTTGTCGGAAACCTTGAATAGCCGGTTTCAATGGTTTCTGTGAACACATACAACAAGTTCAATGGTAAATGAGATACAAAAAAAAGGAAAGTAACCAATTGAGTACAAGGGCAATAGTTAATTACCCTAATAAGTCATTTCCCCTATTTTGTAGTACCTTATTAAAGATGGTGAGGGTGATGGTACACGTTGTGTGAGTGGTTTCATGCCGTTGGACATTCCTACTTCTGATGGCCTTCTATGGTACGTGAAGTGTGTTTATGTCTACTAATTATGTTTTATAAATACCCTATTATACGGATTAATTTAAAAAAAAAATTAAACATTGAAATGTAACCAGTAAATATTTTTTAATGTAAAACTTTAAAATAAAAAAAGGAAGAAACGTATTCATTACAATTTAATTATATATATATATATATATATATATATATATATATATATATATATATATATATATATATATATATCCTTCTTAATAAATGAAGGTTTTTTTTTACCACATGTCAATCTCTCATAAGTTTTGATACTTGTCATTTTGTGGTATTTTTGAAATAAATATTATCCACTTGTCAATTTTTAGTTTGTTTCAATTTTTATAATTAAAGTTATATACTTATATATGTAAAATATTAAGGGGTGTTTGACTTATCTTTTTGGAAGCCAAAAGTCCTTTTGGCAAAAGTTACAAAAAAACAGTATTTCCTGACTTTTCCAAAAAATCATTTTTCCTTATATAAAAAAAAATCAAAAAGTAGTTTTTAAAATGATGTTACCAAACATCTTTTGCATTCTATTTTTTCCAAAAAGAACTTTTGATCCCTCAAAAAATAAGTCAAACACCCTCTAAATATCATATATATGATATTAAATTGCAATAAATATGTTTGTTCCTTATTTTAAAATTGTACATTAAAAAATATTCTCTATTTACACCTTAATGTTTAATTTTTTTTTTAAATCAATCCGTGTAATACACGGGTTTCACACCTAGTATATATATATATATATATATATATATATATATATATATATATATATATATATATATATATATATATATATATATATATATATATATATATATATATATATATATATATGTAATACTTTACATTATAAATATATGATTTTAATTTAAAAATTGAAACACCCACAAGTGGATAATATTCATTTTAAAAATACTACAAAGTGACAAGTGTCAAAACTTATAAATGATTGATACGTGACAAAAAAAAACATTTTATTAAGCATTATATTTCCGAAAATCTTCGAATGAGGGGCAAAATTTCAAGAATTTGATTGAATGGGGTGAATTGTTAATGTTTTATGATTTTATATTAAAGATATATTTTTCTTAACTTAATAATTTTAGTGGGAAAAAATACTCATTTTAGTAGGTTGACCGTTTCTTTAAAAAAATTTACGAAAATGATTTTATTTCGTTAATTTCTAGTTTTTCAACACAAAGCCCTCGTTAACTTTTTCTATTCCTATGTCAATTTCTATTTTTTTTAAATATCATTTATTAGAAAAACATCATTTATATACAGTGTAAAGTAACATATAGAAACACGTTTTAGGATCTTGGGAGATGTTTTCATGGGTAGTTACCATACTATATTCGATTACGGGAACTTGAGAGTTGGATTCGCAAAGGCGGTATAACATAGACGATACATGGTCATGAACGTGTCTTCCTTGTTCAATATCTTGTTAAAGAAGCGTTTAAAATTAATATATCACTTATTGTGGTTCTAATCTTCTACAAAAGATTTGGGCATGAGAGAACTCATCATTGGATTATATGTTTCGATCACTTTATATGCTTGATTTATTAAAGTGAAACCATAACTATTTTGTTACAATATTTGATTGTTGGTTGATCAAATTTTTAATTAAGACTGTTGGTTGATCAATTTATATGCTTGATTTATTAAAGAAAATCCAATGATTGAAGAAAATGAAGGACTTGATGAAAAGCATAAAAATGTATTGATGTTTCTTTTATTTGATCAACTTTCATGAAAATCAATGCCTTCTATTTGTGTATACCCTTTTGCGACTAATCTTGTTTTGTAACGTTCAATTTCTCCAATAGGTTTGTATTTAATCTTGTCGACCCACTTTGAGTCAACAACTTTCTTGTTAGGTGGTAAGTGAGCCAAGGTCCATGTGTTGTTTGCTTCAAGTGCACTTATCTGCTTTTTCATGGCAGTTATCCAATTTGGATTTTTGATCGCCTGATGATAGTGTTTAGGCTCATTTTGAGTGGAAATGGCCATCAGAAAAGATTTGTGATTGCTAGTGAAATTTTTATAAGACATAAAGTTAGATAAATGATGTATCGTCGAGGTTGATGCTTGGCATCCGGAGAAGAATGGTCAATTGAGGGTGTTAATTCCACTTTGTATTCTTCAAATCTTTGTAGCTTTGTTCTAGTTCTTTCGGGTCTCTTGGCTTGTTTGATGTCAATGTTGGTTTCATGAGAGATGTTTTATTGATTTGTGAGCCATAATTACTAGAGAATGGCATTCATGGGCTGCCAAGAGGAGTTTCATGTTGTGGGCTGTTATATGTAGGCCCACATTGGGTAACAATGGGTTGTTGGGTTTCCACATCGATAAGTTGTTAGGTCTCCAGATTAATGGACTGCCCATTTTTTTTCTTCTTCAATTATTGCGGTGGGAATTTCAAATTGCTTATTGTTGTAAAAAGAGGAAATAGGAGAGGAAAGGGTACAAAAAATATACTAAGGACTAAAAATTAAACTTCGAATACAATGCCCTAGTAAAATAGATTACAAAAATGTTCGAAGACCCAAAAAAAACAAAAAAGCAAACTTCGACTCATTACAACACTTCGACCCTGACAATCTCCCACTTTGTAATCGAAGTCGATGCCTTCAGTTTGTAAGAAGGGTAATGGAGTACAAAAAAACTCTTCGAACCTCTGTATACCATGAAATAATTTTCTTAAACTCCTTCTTGTCACCTTCATTGTTCTTCTTGCAGTGGTTCATACGAACAATCAAGTTCGTATATTGTGATGTAGAGTATCTCTCCACTTCGCTTGCTTGGAACAAAAATCGCTTCGCTTTTCCAGCTTTGTCTTTTCCGGCGAAGACTAGTCCAAAAGGCTTTAAACAAATTTCTCCATCAACATATTTCTTCAATTTAGCCTGAGTCTTTGAAGGGGCCATTGCGGCTTTGATCTCCATTCCGTTGTCAGTACCCAAATCCACATCAGTTAGTGCTAGGCACTCATAGTAATTTTCTATAAAGATCTTGATGTGAGCACTCCAAGCTTAAATTCCTCTGGTTCTGTGTTTTGAAGATAAGAGAATGATTTGTCTTTCAAAAGCAATGCAACTTGTAAAAGGTCATACAAGTTCATCAATGGAAAATCTGCAATTGTGAATTCGCAAATATTTCCATTTGCCCTGGCCAACACATACTTAATGTTTTGGACTGTGTTTTCAAAAACCACATCCTTTTTCATACTGATCACCTTCCTGACTTTGATCAGTGACCATACCTCCTCAGGTGCTTTTCCAAGTACAGCATGAAAACAAATTTTCATGTGTGTGCCTTCATCTTTTTCCTTGAAATTCCCTTCAGCTTTGAACTATGGCATGATAAACATCATTTCGTTTATTGGGAAATCCAACTGGCATAAATCAGTATTCGTGATCACATAACTATGCTTTGGCTTTTTTTCGAATGAGTACATGTGATTGAAAACAACCTTGGCTTCGATTGTCTCGTAGTTATAGTGTTTTGCTGGATTACCTTTATCCTTCCCCTTCGAATCACTAGCCCTCTGAGTCATAATGCTTTGAATGAGCCTCATTTTTTCCAGTTCAGCCTCTGTTTCCGCCTTCTTTTAATCTTTTGATTTTTCAACAAGAATTGATTTCCCTTTGTCTTTTGAAGCAAGTTTTTTAGTTACTTCTTTTGGCTTCGAATCACTCCCACCAGTTTCCAATGGTTTACCAATCATAATTCCTTTCGAAATTGGTCTTGCCGTTGGCATTGTTGTTACGATAGTTGAGGTCACTGGTTCAACAGAAACTATCACCGGTTTTGCTGAAGGGATGTTCAAAGAATAAACTTTTCCTACTACTTTCGCATCTTCTTCACTTGACTTCCTTTCTCCCCCTTGCACCCCTGTGAAAACAGGAGGGGCAGTTGTTGTGGGAAGAAGACTAGATATGCGAAAAAGCGGTGCAAGCTGCTTGTTGAGTATGGCTTCGAATTGAACAAACTTCTGAGATAGAAATTCCGGAGTAATCAATGGAGATGAAACCGGTCTTTCTGAAATTTCCTTTAACTCCTTGAGCAGTTTTATCACTTCCTCAAAACTTGCAGTTTCGGATGTTGAGATTTGAGTTATCTGAGGCCTCAAACCTTCATACAACTTAATGAAGCGAGTGACTGCATCGCAAATGATGTCGACCTTTTGATTCACAGATGCATAATCATGGTGAACAGCGGCAACTTCTTTTTTGCATTTCTTCGCGGAGTTCACGAATTTGCATGTTGACATCTTCCCTCACCTTCTTGACATCCTGAATGAAAAGAACATGTCTTTCTTTTGCCACATGCCAGAGACTTTGTTGATTATCCGTGATTCCATTTTCTTTATCATAGTATCAATTTCCAAACTTAATACTGATGAACCTCCTCCAAGATCGTCTTGAGATTGAATTATGGAATTCAATTTTTGATTAAGAATCTTATACTGCTTCATGGTCATTAGCATGTGATCGGGAAATTCCTCTTCATCTTCATGAAATTCCAATTCTTCAAATGTACCTCCAAACCTCTCATTATCAGTTTCAGTCTCCATTTCAATGGGTTCTTGAATAAGTGAAGGTGGTTTGGGTGTGTCAGTTGATTGAGAAGAAAAAATGGAAGTAATAGGTTGATTGATAATTTGTTCGAAGGTAGGTGAGTCTGTGGTTGACGTAATGGGAATAGTGGATGGTGTTACAGAAACACTTGTTTTGAATGGAGTAGAGATAACATGACCTTGATCTTCATGTTTCGAACCTCCTTTACCCATATCGACATTTGCATCCGTATTAGATATGTGTGCAGGGATGCCTGAAGTTCGAACCTCCTTAAAAATTGATTTAGCAATTGAAACTTCGGGTGGTATGACATCTGTCTTCTCAGGAGTGGAATTTTGAACAAGATGAGTGAACTCTGGTGTCTCGGGTATTCTTTCATCTTCGTCTGTGGACTTAGTAGATATAAAAAGCTTTCGAGTCTTCTTCTTCTTCTTCGTTTGTGACAAATGTTTTGCCACATCCTCAGCCCGTCGTTTCTTAGACACAGGAGAAACAGGTGTTGACACTTCTCTAATTAACACTCCTTGGTGAGAAATCTGAGGTTTTCGAACCATTTTCTGTTTAGGTTACTTGCGTTTGTGAGTAGATTTCATCTTGATTCTTCGAAACATCCCAGTTTTCGAAGAAATGATAACATTCTCTTGAGTTTCTTCGATGATTGGCTCAATCACCTAGGTCTCATCAACCGATACTTCAACAGTTGTAGATGCTTCAACATTTGCATTCTTCTTCTTTGGAGACTTTGAGGATTTTGAATCCTTTGTTTTCTTTTCAGAGGAAGCAGGATCATCCTTCTTCGACTTTTTGGACTTCTTCTCTTCCCTAGCCAACAAGATCCCAGTTGGAATAGAAGAATCGATTGTCTTCAGATATGCTACCAAAACCAAATTTGTAGGTTCCACCCTTTTAAGCATTGCGTCTGGAATCCGAGCAACAGTAGGAAATTCATCAGCAGCATCTACAACTTTCTTCAGATAATGATAAGATTGAAAAGTAACCTTCTCTTCGTCATTTGGTACAATAATGCCTTCCTTATTATAAAAATATTGTAAAATAAGGCTCCAATATCGTGCACACCAAATCCCATGTACAACATTTGTATGTTCTACACCCTTTTGGAATTCCTTCCATAATTGTGTAGAAAAATCTTCTTGAAGATCATAGTATAAACCTGCAATCATATCATAAACCTCCATTCTGCCTTTGTCTAAGCCAACAGTTCTTCCGGCCAAACAACGGAGAAAAATCCCAAACAAGAAATTCCATAATCGTGGAAGTCCAGACTTCTTAAAGTCACTTATCTTTGACAATGAGGGCTGATATCTCATCTCATTAAACATATGGACTATTTGTGAGAATGTGAAATCAACATAAGGAGGCGAATTCGGAATTGCAAGAATCTGGAAAAATAGTTTCTTGGATAGCCTAACCTTTTTGTCGTTCACTAGATGGAAAGTGATCATATCAGAGGCTTTGTTGTATGTTGTTGTGGATCCTTCTTGAGAAAGCCAGGATAATGGAACAGAAAACGAATTGAACATCGCGGTGGCTAACACAGAATGGTTTAGAGCAACAATGAGCATCTTTAATTCCTCCAGGTATTGTGAAACTTCACCATCCACATAGTAGTTTATGGATTGAATCTTCATAACTGGTGCAGATGAAATATCATCAGTGGAAGGATCAACATGAGCAGAAGTCTCCATTGTTAGGGTTTGAAGATGATGATGATGAACAGAGAATATTGTGAATTTTTCGTTTTGATTGTGTAAACGACTAACGAACTCCTGAATCCCCTTTCATATGTAACACTGAATTTTCAATTTGAAGTGGGATGTGTAATTAATGACATATAATGTGGCACCTTGAAAATCAGACCATTACTGTGTAAAGGTAGCCATGCGTCAAAAAGTAGCTGTCACATCACCTTGAAAACCGAACAGAATACCATATGTCATTCATACACAGCCTGTCATTATCCCCCCAAGAGAATTGTAACAGTCAGAACCCTTCAAATGGAAGCAAGGCTCTTTAACTTTTGGGATAAAAAGCAAACTCATATGCCAGATGTTCGAAATCATCAACCTGAGTTGGTAATACTCAGAACCTCAAGGATTTCGTGTGTGCAGTGTTCCAAAGAAAGTTAGATAAGAAACAATGAAAAAAAATTGGGATTTTGTGATGTCAAAAATTTGACATAAAGGCAGTCAAACCCCGGGCAAAGGTTGCTTTGTTAATCATCAAGAAAGAGGATCAACAGCTTGTGTATGTTCCCGTGAATTACAATCGAATACTTTTTGATAAGTATCAAAGGGCTTCTTTTGAGAATGCTTCTTGGGTAGGTTCAAAATTTTGTTACATGTCAACCTAAACATAAGGTGATAAAGTGTAATAGAAATGACTTGTGTGACCAGTGTAGTTAGTGACAAGTTGCTTTGATAGATTTTAATCATGACTAGGACATACAAATAAAACTCACACGAAAATCATATTCAAGGAAAAAATTTATGTAATGGATCTTGTTGGGTAACAAACATTGTGGGTTTTGAATGTTTGATCAAGACCACGCATTCGAAATGAATATAATTTGGAGTTTCGAACTTTGGTACAGAAACAAAAGTTTCATGAAAATCTGGAATTGAGTTCCTCGTCAATTCCTTAATTTGTAAGAAATTTGGGTTTCACTTTTATCACGGACTCATGATGTCAGATCATAAACACAGAGTTTTGATATATCTAAGTCTCGATGGGTTTGATCAAAGATCTCTCGAACATATGTCTTTGTGTGTGATCGTGTAAGAATGTTATGGATGAAAAAGATTGGTAAAAGACACGAAAGGTACCTCTATTATGTTTTTGGACCAAACAGGAAACTCTTAACTCATTTTGAGAAGAGTAAGGTAGCTCAGAGACTAATGTGAATATAAGCCTGATTGGGAAGAAATTTTCATATGAAACTTTTCATTAAGGATTTCGTACACACACATTGAGTCATGGAGGCTTTGGACAACATGCAGTAGCATGCTTCTAGGGACAACCTAACTAGTTCGAATGATGAAAAACTTATCGATTCATATGAAAAAAAATTGTACTTGACCCTAATACTGCCTGCATTGTCCCATCTGAATCGTCATCATAATCTGTAGCAAAATACTAAAAAGAAGTAAAAAAAAAATTGTTGTTTTGAATTCTTTGAAAATACCGACAGAGAAAACGAAAATCTTTTTGGATTTTTGATTTTTCAAAAATTTAAGGACAAAACAAAAGAAAATCTTTTTGAATTTTTGATATTTCGAAAATTTAAGAACAAAACAAAAGAAATTTTTTTTGGATTTTTGATTTTTCGAAAATTTAAGGACAAAATAAAAGAAAATCTTTTTGCATTTTTGAATTTTCGAAAATATGAAAAGGATATTGTATTTGTTGCAAACAGACGAATTTTTATGATTCCTTTATGAGTGACAAATATACGAATTCGAAGCGGTCGAAGCGTTGGCCAAGAATTTACAACACCAAAAAAAAACTTCGACTCATTACAACACTTCGACCCTAACAAAAATGACTGCAATGATGACTGATGGACAAGTTACAAAGGTTGATTCTATAAAAGTGCAGAGTGAGAATGATCTTTTTGGGTACGATAGTTACACGTACTTAACTTGGGATGATTTTGAAGTTGTTCTTACAATGGATGAGTTGACTGGTGCTGTCATTGTGTCTTATAAGATGTAAGTGCAAGAAATTTAATTTAAAAAAAATTGTTTCTTAAAAGAAATTTTGTTTAATGAATTTAGTGTTTGTATGATGTCACACCCCCAAACTGGAACGGCGGAAACGTTCGGGGGCGGATGACTTCATGTGGTAACGTAACAAATGAATACATAGTAAAGAAAGCAATACAACCATCATATATATAATTGAAAGTTTACATTGTTTAAAAGTATACATGTTCAAAATCAATTACATTATGATGTCAAAATATGAAATTAAACTGGCGCCGCAGCTACCCTTCTCCAAAATCTGTTTGTTACCTGTAATTACTGAATCCCTGGGACATACAAGTAGTTTTGAAAGAGTAGATCAGCATTTAAGCTGGTGAGTTTCATAAGTATTTAATGACAATTTTTGTATGAAATGAAATGTTTTTGTTCTTTGTTTGCATGTTCCTAGAAAATCCTATATTTTCTACTAGTATAATTGTAACCTTCTTTCAGGACAAATGCTTGTTTCTAGTAAATGTATGTAAGTGTAAAGATTTCAATTTGTCTGAAAAACCCCGTAAATCATTGTGTTTTCAATACCCCATGTTAGTTTTATAACCATGCTATTGACAAGGAATGCTTATACACAACGTTCTTCAGGCGTTGGAATGTTCTGACGTTTGTCACCCCAAAAGGTGGACTGTAGCTAACAGTTAGGGCGCAGGTTGTCAAGCCCGTATAGATCTATTCACAAACACCATGCTCCCCCTCCAAGGGATTCTGGTATATAATACAGGACTTGAAATGTGTACTTGAACGTACGTGAAGTTAATGTCTCACAAAACTTAGTATAAAACAGATTTACGTGTGAAAACGTTCGTTCGTTATTGTATATGAAAGTAGCTTATCGAAATAGTATTTCCATGTATGTAAAAGTTCGTAGTATTCTCGTAAAACTATACCTATTATAGTTTCCTAAAAGTTTGTTTCATTTGTTAAATAAACCCTTAGTGAAAATGTTCACTTGTTATGAAAAGTGTAGTTTTTGTAGTGCCAAAACCGTCACACATAATGTAATATAAGCAACGTATATGATTTATATAAATACCTAAATCATTTCTCATTTCAAAAGATAAAATGTTGTCGTGTTATACTTTGCATATGAAAGATTCCTTTTTATAGTTTCAAATCACATATGATTCCTTTGATAAAACGCGTAAAGTGAAAGTTTATATAACCCCCGATAATAACAGAGTATTTTGCTTGTATTCCCCCCTTAAAATCATATAAAAGTACTTATAATACATTTAAAAATGTGAATTATAGGGGTATGAACTTGCTTGTAAGATCGGAGGTTGCGGGATGAGAAACCGGACAAAATTTCGGCTTGCGAAAGTGTATTTCCTCGGGATTCTCGGGAATCTCGGGGGCACGAACGACCTTCGGGACTCGAGCAAAGTGATCGGGGCTTCGCGGTAGTGTGGGCACGGAAATCGAGGCAATATCGTGAGAGAAATGAGAGAGATGGGGTGTTTTTCCCAGAACTCTCGCATCTCTATTTATAGGGGTCTGAGAAGCCTCGGTACGCGGGGCGTACTCGTGCGTCATGCGTGACCGAGTCCTCGACTGCCTCGCTTCGGATGGGATGGGACGGGCAGGCTCGCATAGGGGCGACGTGGACGAACCGAGACCAAGGCCTCGCGTACGCGGGGCGTACGGGGTTACACGGCGCGTAACTCGGATGAACACGCTGACTCCCCCTTCGGATAATACCGGATTTTTGATTTAAATTTATATATAATTTATTTAATAAACTTGAAAAATTCATATCTTCTTCATACGAACTCCGTTTT